TCCTCCTCCTTTCCCTCCTCCTCCTCCTTTCCCTCCTGCTCCTCCTCCTCCTCCTCCTCCTTTCCCTCCTCCTCCTCTTCCTCCTCCTCCTCCTCCGACGACGACGACGACAAAGACCGGCAACGACAATTGGCGACGAGCGGGCGCCGCCTGTACGACTTGTGGAACACCTCCTCCAGGAAGGCCAGCAGTACCCTCTCGTCCGCGCGCTGGACCCCGCCGCCCATCAGGACGATGTGGCTCCTAGGAGGACGGGGGGCGGTCACCCTCGGGCGCCTCCCACTCCCGACCTCCGTCGGGCCAGGAACACATCAGGACGAGAAGTTTTCCCGTATGCTCAGCCTCTGGAGGCCCTTACCGGCCTCAGGACCGTCAATAAACGATTCAGGATGAGAAGCTGGTGCCAGAGAATGGGTCGAGACCTCTCAGGGTCGACGCAATGAACAAAATCATGACGTCGGGGGTCTGGGGCGGCCGCCTGTGACAACAGAAGAGGGCGGCCCCTCCTTCACCTCCTCCCCGCCCTCCCCTCTCTTCTTGGCCCCCTCCTCCCCCATACCTTTCCTCGTCCTCCTCCCCCCTCCCTCTTACCTCCCCCTCCCTCCCCGACACCACCTGGCGCGAGCATGATCCTGCCTGCGCGCCACATTCGGAAGCAGGCCAAGCGCCCCCCCCCGTGACCCCTAGGAGCCAGGGGCCGCACCTATCCCACGGTGCCCGAGAGAAAGAAAAAGAGAGAAGCAAGAGAAGTGGGAGGGGGGGGGGGGCGGCGCCCCAGGTGTTGCTCCAGCAGCACCAGCCCACCGACGGTGGGTGGCCCCCATGCCTTCCTTGCTTTTCCTGCACCAGGGGACACAGGTTACCCCACGTCGCCGTGCGGGGCACACGGCGCGAGTTTCTCCGCAGGGGGTAGCCTGGCCCGCCCCCATAAGCCCCCTTTGCCCAAGGGGGGGCCAGGCAGTACACGCTTTTGGGCTTTGCTCAGCTGGCCGACCCTCCCTGCCACACTCTCGCCCGCAGCGTGACGGGAGGGCTGCAGCAGTGGTCGGAACTCGCCCCCACACAGGCGAGCACCCTGGGGGTCGGCGCAGACCGGAGACGGATCCACGCCGACGCAGGGACGGATGCCCTTGCGGCCCCGGCGGCCGGGGGCCCGACGGACCTGAGACGGCAGACCCTACCCCGACCACTGCGGTGGCAGACCGCACCACAACGCCTGCGCGAGCAAGCGGGGGCCGCCCCAGGACCGCCGGGACACCGGCGCTCCTGGGCCGCCGCACGGCCCCCGCGCAGACCACGGCTCGGCGGATCTCAGATCCCCGGAAGCCCCGATGCGCCGCCCACGCACCGGCGCACCCTTTCGGGGGCCACATCTCCTCCATCCCCCCTCCCTCCCTCGCTCCGCCTCCCCCTCCTCCCCTTCGCTCTCAGGGGCCTCAGAGGGTGTGTGTGTGGGGGGGGGGGCGCTCCCGCTCAGGGCTGCCTCTGCGCGGGGCTGCCGCGAGGGCTCCGCCGCGTGCCCGCTCGGCAGCCCCGGCGTGCACCAGAGGGCGGCATTGGGGGAGGAGCGGGGAGGAGGAGGAGCGGAGCGAGAGGGCGAGCGAGCGGTCAAGGGCAGGCTGGTGCAGTAGGCTCCCGGAGACGCCGCGGCGGGTGCCTCCTGCGGCGCCGGCGGAGCGAGAGGCGGAGCGAGAGGCGGAGCGAGAGGCGGAGCGAGCGGCGGAGCGAGCGATCAGAGGCCGGCCAGTGTGGACTCCTGGGGACGCCGCTGTAGGTGTCTCTCACGGCGCGAGCGGGAGGAGGGAGGGAGGGGAAGGATCGGGGAGGCCAATGAGAAGGAGGAGGAGGACAAAGAGGAGAAGGATGAGGAGGAGGGGGATAAGAAGGAGAAGGAGGAGGAGGTGGAGAACGGAGAAGCAAAAGAGGTGGGGAGGAGGAGGATGAAGGAATGAGGGGGAGGAGGGGGAGACTATCGAGGAGGCCAAGGAGGAAGGGATAGGAACATCACACATACGCAGTTGTTCTGCGGCTGTTGGCCCGCTGTGGAGTCCCTGGAGAGCAAGCCCTTGGCCCTGCCTGGAGGCGGAGACAGAGGACCAGGACGATCCTCCTCCATTCACCCCCCTCCTCCCCTCTTCCTCCTCCACCCTCCCCCTTCCTCCTGCTCCTCCTCCTCCTCCTCCTCCTCCTTCTCCTTCTCCCCTCCTCCCCTCCTCCCTCCTCCTCCTCCCCTCCGCCGCCTTCTCCCCTCCTCCTCCGCCCCTCCTCCTCCTCCTCCTCCTCCTTCTCCTCTCCATCCTCCATCCTCCATCCTCCATCCTCCATCCTCCATCCTCCATTTTCCATCTTCCATCTTCCATCCTCCTCCTCCTCCTCCCATCTCCTCCTTCTACAGCTCCTCCTCCTCCTCCTTCTCCTCCTCCTCCTCCTTCTCCATCCTCCATCCTCCATCCTCCATCCTCCATTCACCCCCCCTCATCCCCTCGTCCCTCCTCCCTCTTCCTCCTCCACCCGAGCCCAAGATGGCCCTTCTTTTAGCCTATCGACTGTAAGGATCCTCCGGGGAGGTGGAAGGGTCGCTCGCCACTCCAAACCAGTGTGCCCGCGCCCGTGCGCCTTCCGGCGCCCGGGGCAGCGCACCCCGCTCGGCTCGGAGCATACCTGGGCAGCGCGTCTTCGTCCGCCCAGGTGCGGAGCCGAGCGGGAGAAAATGCAGGCCAGTGGGAGCACGCCGCGTCGGCGACGTCGGCGTACCTCCGCATGCGTCTCTCTCCTCCCGCTCCAGCTCGCCCCTCTGCTCCACACGTCATACCCATCCTCTGCGTCCGTCGGCTCTTCGGGCTCCACCCCTGGTTTCCGCCCGCATATCCTGGGCATCGCTCGGACGTCCGTTCCCTGTGTTGTTTTCGGTTTCGCGCGTGTTTTTTTCGCCACATGATCAAGGATGCTCCTCGATGGTCCTCGCCGAAGGAAAAAATGCACACGTCCGAGCGATGCGCCAAGTCTCAGGGTGAACACACCAGCACAGCCTGTGCTGCCCCTCGGCAGGGGCAGCCGAGGAGCGCTCCCAGCCGCCACGACGACTTAAACACCGCCGGGCACGGAACAAGCACAAGGATGGCAGGCCTCGAGGCAAAGGCCAGTGGAGACAGCGCGCCAGTCCATCCACAGCCTGGGCTATACAGGCGATCGCGAGAGAAAGGGACTCGCGGGGCCCCGCACCGAGGACGCTTCCGGAAAGGAGGCGGCCGCCCCCGATGGCTGGCCTGTCGCAGGAAAGCCAGGTCACTGACGAGCTGGTAGACACCAAGAGCGAAGGGGCCCTGGGACAAACAAATAGACACACGCAGATAACAGGACACCCCCTGTATGTCCCCACATCTTTTCGGGGCTTTCGTCCTCCCCCCCGCTTCCCACGTCTTCCCACATTTTTCCGGGGAGAATCGACGATTGCAATGGTGTCTGTGTGTGTTTTCCCCCTCCTGGACATGGCTGGACCCGCCCGCGGGCCGAGCGCCGGGCGACCGCCTGCGGAGGGCAGGGGCGACCCGGGGCCGCGCGGGAGCCGAGCGCGGGAGGGGCACGACGCGCTGCCACGGGCGCGTCCGGCGCTCGCCGAGGCCCGAGCCGTCGCCCCGTCACCGAATGGGGCCCCGGGGACACGCAGACGAGTAGGCACAAGTAGGAGGCTCCACCACGTTTCCCCCCCTTTTGTTTCTGGGTTTCTGTCGTCCCCCCCCCCCACTCCCGACATCTTCCCATCCTTCCGGGGGAGTCGACGATGAATTGTGTCTGCGTTTGTCTTCCCCCCTGAGTCACGTGGCAAGCTCCGGAAACCGCAGGGTACCCCAGCCTTGACCACCAACGGGCGGAGCCCAATCTTACGTTCGCTTCCACCGCCTTTCGTCTGCCGGCCGCTTGCGCCAGCGGAGCCGCCCATCTTTGAGGGGTGGCGATAGAAGGGCAAATGGCTCAGGGGGGAAGCATTGACTTGGAATCGACGATGCGTCACCGAGAGGTCGGAGATAGTCCGTCGATGGCGAAACTGGGCGGTCCTGGGCGGCGCGGGCTATCAGGCCCGCATCGGCGATGAATGTGCGTTAATGCATTTCCCCCTTAACCTATCCCCCTGATTACAATTGCCCCTGAATCGCTTACTTCCCCACGCCTCCGCCAAGGCCCGTGAGGTCAATCCTTCGACGTCTCGGAATGGCCCCTTCCTGGAAAGGCCTGCCTAGAGCGTCTCGCTCCACTAAGGCGCTGATGCTGCGTCAAACGCAGGTCCACTTGAGTCGAACTTGACTCAAGCTATTGCCTGACTATTGCCGAGCTAGGGCCGAGCAGATCCGTCAGGTGGGCCCCAGGAAGTGAGACGCAGAAGGACAGACTCGTGCTATGTGCTGATGCTGGAGGCGCACGTACGCCCCGAGCAGATGGTATGCAGAGCTTCCGGTGCACCTTTTCCCGAGCGGCATGGCCAGAACGCGCCCGCCACAGAGCTTCTGCTGACGAGATTCCCGAGAGCGCGCGCGGGACATCATCCGCGATCACGCCCGTGACCCGCCTGGCCCCCCTCCCACTCCTCCCTCCCCTCCGGTGCCGTCACGATTCGCGCCGGCGCCGTCTGGGAATGAGCCAGTGCTGAGCATTCCCTGGCAGCGCTGGCGCGAATCGACGTGACCAGCACCCCCTCCCCCCCCCACCCCCCCTGGCTTGTCACGCCCGTTACCACCAGAGGATAAAGGAACGCTCGCCTACAGCTGAATATGCTTGGTTGTGTCGGACGAACCAGGGTGCCCAAAATAAACGTGCGAGGAGTCGGCTGTCCTGGCAGGGCCCCTCCCCGCGCTGGGCCGGCACCTAACACCAGCGCGCGCGCCTGAGGCGCCCGCTGTGCTGGCCCCGTGCCGCCGCGGCGGCTCAGCCCTCCTGCGCGGTGCAGGAGCACGACCAGCACTTCTGTCCTTCGGCTGCACGAAAGAATGACCCTTGGCTTGAAGGTCGCTGGGGGGGGGAAGCGTTGTGTCCAGGGCCAGGTCCCAATACGCTTGGGCGGCGCGCTTGATCCGTTAACAGCCATCATTACGGCCCATATTCGCAAGAAGCTCGGATGTCAGGTTTGCTCTTGCCGACAATTGGGCTGCTTAGCTTTGCTCCTACACTGCAGGCTCGTATCCCCTGCCCCTCAGCGAGCTCCCACCGTTGGCAAGAGCGACCGTTGGTACGCGACCTTCGAGTGCAGCGGGGGTGACAAAACCAAGCGCGCAAGGCGCTGCAAGGCAGTGCCGGGGTGATCCCTGCGGGTCCGCACCAAAAGGTCATCCTGGCGAAGGGACACTCCTGCGCGAGGCCGAGTCCTGGGAGCGGCGGCGAGCCCAGGGGGGGAAGTGAGAGGGGGCAGGCCTCCCCTGAAGGCGGCAGGGCTTCCAAGCAGGATCCCGCGCCTTCGGAGAAGTCTGAGGAACCTTCTCCGAAGGCGAGGGCGGCAGATTAGAGGGCGCAGGAAGTGCGGAGAAGCCACGCCGCCTCTCTGACCTGGCCTGCCCCCATCGCACTTCCCCCCCGCCCTCCCGCCGGGCGCGCCTCCGACGGGAGGGCGCCGGGGCGGGTGCGGGAGGCTCGTGCCGTCGCAGCCTGCGCGCTAGCTGCCCGACGCCGCGCGGCTCGCTCGAGACCTCGAGCGATGGCGGCCGATCCCGGGCCGCGGAGGGCGCTCTTCAGCCCTGCAGCCGCCGCGTCGGCACGACGCGAGCCTGCCGTAAGATACAGGGCTGTCTGGCTAGACCCGCCACGCCCGCTCCAGACATCCAGCGAGCGAGTCCTCTTCACTCCGCGGGCCCCAGGATGCCTCGGCCCCTTCTGGGGGAACAAAAAGTGGCATAGACATAACAACTGGGAGGTCCGCGCGGATTTCTCGGGTCGGCGCTGGGCACCCCTGGCGGCGCCAGGGGCGCCGCCCCTGGCGCGCTCCGCGCGCCAGGGAGGGGGGTCCAGCGCCGATCCGAGAAATCCGCGCGGACCTCCGAGTTGTTATGTTTATGCCACTTTTTGTTCCCCTACCTTCCCCGAGGGTGGCTTCCCTTTTTTGGTCCGTTCGCCATGAGGGGACCGAAATATGACGTGGACATCAAGGCTCGGAGGTCCATCTGAGAAATCCGCGCGGACCTCCGAGTTTTTGTATTTATGTCACTATTTTCCCCTGGTCATGTCCTGGGGCCAGAAGCGGCCCCGATCGAGGAGACATGCCAGGATTGAGAACACCAGCGCGACGGAGCCTTAGGCCTGCACTACTGTAGCCCCGCCAGGTCCACCCTATGGCCAGAGGCATGGATCACAGTGCTCGGGCCCGCCCTGTGGCCTGGCCCGTAAGCCCCACGAGCCCTCTAGGCGTGAGTGGCTTTGGGAGCTTCCTCTTTCAACCCCCCTTCTTCCCGTTCAGGGAGGATCTACTGTTTAGGATGAAGAAAAAGCGGCACAAGCATATTCGTTTTGGCGCTCCGCGCGGATTTCTTGGATCTGCGCCGGACACCCTTGGGCGGCGCTGGAGGCGCCGCCGGGGGGCCTAGCGCGGATCCCAGAAACCCGCGACGTCCTGACAACATCGGGACCTCGCATGTCTGGAATGTTTTTCCTCTCGATCTCCGCCACCCGTGCTGCCGGGCACGGGGCGGCTGTGCCCGCAGGCCCTTCTTGCCCGATCCCCCGAGCCTTCTAGTCCTCACGCTCGGGGAGTCTTCCCAGACCCCCGACGCTATAATTTTTTCATTACGTTGACCCCCGAGGTCTCGACCCATTCCCCGGGAACCGTTTTTACCTAACAGCGAAGACCGATAGGTTCTAATTGTGTCAAAAGATAGCATCATGACTCCCCAGGGGGGTCTGGGCGGGATCCGGACGGGATCCGGGGGAATCCGGGGATTCCTTTTAGCCAACAGTAACGCACTTCGTGGCCTTCGAGTTCCCAGAACTCCACTCCTGGGCATGATTTTGAATGCCCGGAGCCAACTGTAGGCCACTTCGTGTTCTTCGAGTTCCCAGAACTCCATTCCTGGGCATGATTTTGAATGCCCGGAGCCAACTGTAGGCCACTTCGTGGTCTTCGAGTTCCCAGAACTCCACTCCTGGGCATGATTTTGAATGCCCGGTGCCAATTGTAGGCCACTTTAGGTGGTCTTCGAGTTCCCAGATCTCCACTCCTGGCTTGATTTTGATTGCCCGGATCCACTGTAGCCACTTCGTGGTTCTTTCGAGTTCCCAAACTCCATTCCCGTGCCAATCATTTTGAATGCTAGATGCAGGGCTATGGCGGAGCTGAGGGCAGCTGAGGCGGGAGTGCATGGCTGAGCGAGGCCGAGCTGAAGGCAGACTGAGCTGAGGCTGAATCAGGCGAGGCTAGGCTGAGCAGGCTGAGGCTGAGGCTGAGGCAGCTGATCCTGATGCAGGCTGAGCGGAGCTGAGCTGATGCATGTTGAGGCTGAGCAGGTTTGAGGCGGATGCCGAGCGAACGGCAGACGATGCTGAGGCTGATGCAGGTCTGAGGCAGGCTGATGCAGAGGCTGAGGCAGGCTGAGGCTGAGGCAGGCTGAGGCTGAGGCCGAGGCTGAAGGCAGACTGAGGCTGAGGCTGAAGCAGGCTGAGGCTGAGGCTGAGGCAGGCTGAGGCTGAGGCTGAGGCAGGCTGATGCTGAGGCAGGCTGAGGCTGAGGCTGATGCAGGCTGAGGCTGAGGCAGGCTGAGGCTGAGGCCGAGGCTGAAGGCAGACTGAGGCTGAGGCTGAAGCAGGCTGAGGCCGAGGCTGAGGCAGGCTGAGGCTGAGGCTGAGGCAGCCTGATGCTGAGGCAGGCTGAGGCTGTGGCTGAGGCTGATGCAGGCTGAGGCTGAGGCAGGCTGAGGCTGAGGCCGAGGCTGAAGGCAGACTGAGGCTGAGGCTGAAGCAGACTGAGGCTGAGGCTGAGGCAGGCTGAGGCTGAGGCTGAAGCAGGCTGATGCTGAGGCAGGCTGAGGCTGAGGCTGAGGCTGATACAGGCTGAGGCTGAGGCAGGCTGAGGCTGAGGCCGAGGCTGAAGGCAGAGTGAGGCTGAGGCTGAAGCAGGCTGAGGCTGAGGCTGAGGCTGAGGCAGGCTGAGGCTGAGGCTGAGGCAGGCTGATGCTGAGGCAGGCTGAGGCTGAGGCTGAGGCTGATGCAGGCTGAGGCTGAGGCAGGCTGAGGCTGAGGCCGAGGCTGAAGGCAGACTGAGGCTGATGCTGAAGCAGGCTGAGGCTGAGGCTGAGGCAGGCTGAGGCTGAGGCTGAGGCAGGCTGATGCTGAGGCAGGCTGAGGCTGAGGCTGAGGCTGAATGCAGGCTGAGGCTGAGGCAGGCTGAGGCTGAGGCCGAGGCTGAAGGCAGACTGAGGCTGAGGCTGAAGCAGGCTGAGGCTGAGGCTGAGGCAGGCTGAGGCTGAGGCTGAGGCAGGCTGATTTCTGCTTGAGGCAGGCCTGAGGCTTGGGCAGGCTGGCTGAGGCTTGAGGCTGAGGCACTCAGGCTGAGGCGAGGGGCAGGCTGAGGCTGAGGCCGAGGCTGAGGCAGACTGAGGCTGAGGCTGAGGCTGGCTGGCTGAGGCTGAGGCTGAGGCAGGCTGAGGCTGAGGCTGAGGCAGGCTGAGGCTGAGGCTGAAGGCTGAGCTGAGGCTGAGGCTGAGGCTGAGGCTGAGGCTGAGGCTGAGGCTGAGGCTGAGGCAGGCTGAGGCTGAGGCCGAGGCCGAAGGCTGAGGCTGAGGCCGAGGCTGAAGGCAGACTGAGGCTGAGGCAGGCTGAGGCTGAGGCAGGCTGAGGCTGAGGCTGAGGCAGGCTGAGGCTGAGGCTGTGACTGCGACTGCCGTTGCCACTGCGACTGTCATCGCGAATGCGACTACGACTGCGAGAACAGCAGAATCCTACAACTGGACTCTCATCTGAATCTTAAGGGGAATGCTTCCAGATATGCTCCTACACATCGCTGTTAGGTTGCTTTGCCGGGATAATTCATCCTGAGTCGTTCTTTGACGGCCCCGAGGGCCGGTAAGGGCCTCCCGAGGCCGGAAACAAGGAAAACCCTCCCGTCGTGATTTCTGCATGACCCGAGGGGGTCTGGGCTCGAGGGGCCCGAGCCCGCGCGGCGAAAACTCTCTCGGGGGGGCTCCTCGCGTGCGGTCGGGGGCCTGGCCGCGTCTCCGCGGGCGGCAGCCCCGGGCCGCCCGAGGGCCCCACGGCGGGCCTCTATAGAGGGCCACGCCGGGGCCCACGGAGGCGGCCCGAGAGGGCCCCGGGCCGCCGAGGGATCCTCCCAAGACGCCCAGGATGGCCTCGGGGTGGCCTCAAGGAGGCCTCCAAGAAGCCCCAAGATGGCCTCGAAGAGGTTTTTACACCCTTGATTCCAAGACGCCCAGGATGGCCTCGAGGTGGCCTCGAGGAGGCTTCCAAGAAGCCCAAAAAGAGGCCTCCAAGAGGCCTCTCATGGGGACCCCAAGAGGGCCCCACGACAGGCCCAGAGGGCCACGCCGGGGCCCCCGGAGGCGGTGCAAGAGGGCCCCGAGCCTCCGAGGGATCCTCCCACAGAGAGGACAAAATCCATCCCGAGAATAACCACCCCGACACGCGAGGCCGTTGGTGAACGCGCCCAAGGAAGGGATCGACGCTTAGCAAATGCGAATTATCGGGGTCGGGGTGGTTTTTGCACACTTGATTCCAAGACGCCCAAGATGGCCTCAAGGAGGCTTCCAAGAAGCCCAAAAAGAGGCCTCCAGGAGGCCTCTTATGGGGACCCCAAGAGAGGCAAAAGTCAGTGATGCCCCCCCAGGTTTCTGAAGGATTTGGGCGTTCTCGCCTTTCGCGGCTTTCCGACGTTCCAAGACGGCCAAGGAGGTCCCCAAGACCACCCAAGACGGACAAAGAGGCCTCCAAGAGGGCCCCAAGACGGTGAAAGAGCGCCCCAAGACGGCGCCCAAGACGGCCCAAGAGTGCCTCAAGATGGCCCCGAAAGGTGCCCAAGAGATGCCCCAAGAGGCCACCAAGAGGCCCCAAGAGGCCCCCAAAAAACCCCAACAGGCTCAAAAGAGCCCCCGAGAGGCCTCCCACGAGATCCCAACGAACATCCAATAGGCTTCATACCCACAACCCAGGCCCGGTGGCGGGATAGGCCGCGGGCCATGCAATATCAACACCGTCCCCCCTGCACGACCAGCAGCCACCCCGGATCCATACGGGCACCCATGCGGGCACCCCCCAACATCCCTATCAAAAACAATGCGAACTACACGTTGCCTCCAAATCTGGAGCATGCGCGGGCGCCCCGCGACCACTCGCTTTGCATGGTGTTCGACAGGGACGGCAGGGTTGCAGGCATATTACTTGCTGCGCGCAGGCCAACACCCGCATCCCATCCCTTGCAGGACACAATGCTAAGTACACGGTGCACCAACATCTAGATCAATGGCCTGACGCCCCGCGATCACTTTGCATGGTTTTTGTGACAGGGACGGTGGGGAGGGGCAGCATATCGTCTGCTGTGTGCAATGCCAGCAACCCCTTGCAACAAGCAAAACAAACTGCTCCTTGAACAACAATCTGGATCATGTGCGGTCGCCTAGCGCTTACATTGCAGGGCTTTTCGACAGGGATGGCGGGGGTGCGGGCATATTGCCTGCTGTGCTCAGGCCCACCATCCCGTCCAAAAGAAGGATGACCAGGCTCATTATGCCAGGGACGGCGGGTGGGGGAGCGACATGCTGCCATACTGCCCGCTGCGCGCAGGCCCGCAATCCCTGCCAACACAACAAAGGCAAACAGATGGTCGGCGCACACCCGCACGCACCAAACCAGCCGCCACCTTGCACGGTTTCGGACGGGGATGGTGCGAGGGTGGACATGTTGCCCAATGTGGCGCACCTGCTGCGCGTGGCGGAGCTGCCATGTGCCGCGCACCTCGCGGGCTTCGCGCACCTGGCTGTCGTCTGCATTGGTTCCCGATGGTTGTGGATGGCGGTCCCTGTCCATGCTGGGTCTCAGGTGCTAACTTATGTGTTGGGAGAGCGGGTGGGAATGAGCGAGACGGCTTGTTGCTTGTGGGTAGATCGACTCCTCCCCATACCCCCTCCCCCTGGACATGGACGGGGCACCCCACGACCCACTGGAGCGTTCAGAAAGGCCTTAGCGAGAAAGCACACGTCACTCACTTTCTTAAGGTTGTGGGCCAAGTTTGGCCTTCTGGCGGGGGACTCAGATCAAGACCCCCCCTTCTTCGATCAAACTCCTGCAAGACGGCCCCAAGATGGCCCCCACGGCTCCCAGGAGTGCCCCAAGAGGGCCCCAAGAGAAGCCCAGGAGGCCCCTAGAGGCCCCCAAGAGGTCCCAAGAGGCTCCCCAGAGGCACCCAAGACGCTCCAAGAGGCCCCCCGGGACCCCGAAGAGACGCCCCAAGACGCCCCAAGACGCGCCCAGATGACCCCAAGAAGCCCTCAAAAGGTATCCGAAGAGAAATCCAGGAGGCCTCTGGCCGTTCTGCTCGCCCTCCTCCTCCTCCTCCTCCTCCTCATCCTCCTCCTTCTTTTCCTGCTCCTCCCCGTCCTCATCCGCACATTCCTCCTCGTCCCTCCTCCCGTCTCCCCCTGCCCCTCCCCCTCCTCTTCCTCCGATTCCTCCTCCATCCTCCCCCCTCTTGGGGTATGACGGCTTTCCCGAAACAGTTGTTCCGCTGCATGCTCCCCCAAAATCCCCGACCAAGGCAGCTCCCCTGGACAGATCGCCTCCAGATGTGCTGGTGGGGCTGCGCGAAGCGTCTGGAATCTCCTGGGCGCACAAGGGCTGGCGCGGGCAGGGCCGTGGGGAAAACGACAGGCACCGATGCCGCTGCTCCCCGTACCCTCTCTCGGGGTGCGTCCTGACCAGAACTTCGAGGCGCATCCAGCGGTGGCGACGGGGGCCTCCCAGCAGGCCCGGAAAGGGGGAAAACGAGCGGAGGGTAGAGCCAAGTCGGGCCTGTCCCTCTACAGGCCCGACCTGAGGGTGGAGGTGTGGGCACCCTTTCCTTTGCTGAGCTCGAGGCTGGTGGTGTATACTCTCAGGTCACCGACCACCTGCGCGCCGCGCCCCTGCGCTGCGCGTCACGGCGCGGCGACCGTTGCGCCTCTGCGGGCGCCCTCTGGCGAGGGCCAGCCGGGCAGCCCCCCGGCAGCCCCCGACGCGCGATGCGTGGCTCTCGAATTTGTTTCGATGCGTGGGCCCTCGATGTTTGCTCGATGCGAGGCTTCCCTCGACGACAGAACAACACCTTCTCAGAAGGCGCGGGGGCTTCTGAGAAGTCCCGCCGCCTTCTGAGAAGGTCTTCTCCTTCTCATTCCCCAAAAATCTGGCTCTTCCGATTTGTTCGATGCGTGGGCCCCAGAAGTCTGGACCACTTCCCCGGAGCCGGCTTTGCGTCACAAGGCGTTCTGCTGACGCTCCCGAGGCCCAGCGAGGCACCCCCGGGGGCCAGAAGGGGCCCGAAAACCGCCCGCTCCAGGCTCTTTCGAGCGTCAGACCTCTGGGTAGATACTTGGCGCCCCACGGCGTCCGTCGTTCACCCCCGCGCTGTCGACGTGAATGGGTCGCGGCCGCTGCGCGTCGGTCCTCTCGTCGGTCGCGGCCGTTGCCGCGTTCTCCTCGATGGGCTTCACGCTCCAGGGCCACGCCGCGTCTTCTGCGGGTGCCTCGCCCCCTCCAGTCGCGGAGGTGGCGTCGTTCTCGACGGGATTGGGCGCGGTGCCTTCCTGAGAGGGGAGCGCAAGGACGCGAAGGAGGAGGAGGAGGAGCAGGAGGAGGAGGAGGAGCGCACCAGAGGAAAGAGCGAGAAGGAAAGGGAGCAGAAGTACGGTGGAGCAGGAAGAGGGTGGGGAGGGGGAAGAGCGAGCGAACCTGGGGTGCGGAATGATGAGCAGCAGGAGGGGAAAAGAGGGGGAAGGAGAGGAGGAGGGTCGCGAGTCCTCTGGGCGTCCCGCCCTCTTGGCGCTGGACTTAGCGCAGCAGCCTCCCATGGTCTGGACGAAGACTGGCTGGCAGAAGATCAACTCGAGTGCTCAGGGGTGGCTCAGCCCCGTAGTCAGCGTCGCCAGAAGGGGGGAGGGAGTAGGGGCAAGGGACGAAGGATAGGGGACGGTCTACTCCTTCACCATGGTAGTTCCACCCATTGGCCTCCCAGTGACATTGGACAGTAGTGGTACGATTGCCACGGGGACCTCACAGAGGACATTGGTTATAGTACTCTCGATGTGCACATCCATGTGGCAATCCAGATTGTCCAGTCTATCCAGCGCGCTGTGTGGCGTGGTGATCATATGAATGGTTTTATGGCGTGTGCGAGCTTGTCTCGCCATCGTTCGGACGTCCAATCCCCGTGCATTTTTCGATTTCGTGCGTCGACTTTCCGACGGAGATCCAAGATGCTCCCCGATGGTCCTCGCCGAGGGAAAAAACGCACGCGTCTGGGCGATGCCGAGTTGTATACGCTGACATGAAGTGGAGCGCCCAAAGTTCTCAATACCAGCGGCTGCACATTACAGCGATGATGTCGAAAGGTCTTGCACGGTCCCTATGGAGGCGTGGCCGTGGTGGGCTTCCACGGTGCGGATCGTCACCGCTGCTGTGCCTCTTCTGCCGTCGTCTACCCACGCGCGACACGCCCGCAACCCAACTGGGACGCGACCAACCCGCGACCCACCCACCTTCCTTTCACAACAGCATGCAAGCGCCTGCGCCATGCTCGTCGTGTAATGTGTTGTTCAAACGCACGCTGCTTCAAACATGCTCTTGAGCGTCACGGGCTGCCGACGACCCCCCGTCCCGCCAGATCTTCCACCCTTACCCGCAACTATGCGGGGGCTACAATCCTCATGAAGGGGCCGGGACGACCAACTCACAAACCGTTTATGGAGTGTCGCGTGCCTGTGGGGGCCTCCCGCATGCCTTCTGAGGCTTCCCGCCAGGACCCCACGAGAGACCCATGATGGCTCCAAGAGATCTCCGGAAGGAACACTTCCAAGGCGGCTGTTGCACTCCATGCCTCTACACTTCCCTGATCAAGGCAACTCGCTTGGCGATCTGTTTCTGGATGGGCTGGTGGGGACACTTTTTGGTCGCGGCCGCGAGCGAAGAGCGCACGTGGCGACAGAAGTTGTCCGGTCCTACGAACAAGCCTAATTAGCTGCAGGGCGCAACTCAAGCCGGCGGGGCTAGCTCACAAGGCGGCCACTGGGGCAGCGAGGCGAGGGCTGACTGGCTGACGGGCACCCAGGGAAGCTCGGGCATCGTGCAGCCCAGAGCAAAATGCCAGGGAATTCGGTGTTACGCCCTGCGACGTTAGACCACTCGGTGGAGGCGCGGACGCAGGTGAGCGTCCTGCACTGCACCCCTCTCGCGCATGGTGGCCACGAAAGCGAGGTAAACGATGGTCCAGTCGCCAGCGGGGCGCCACGGGCCAAGACCGTGCCGACGGCGTATACCAGCCAGGTAAGCTGAGGCTGGTGGGGGCATTTTTTTTGGTTGGCGGCTCCGAGGCGGCGGACAGGGAGCGGTCAAGTTGATCCGGGGCGCGGTACCAACGAATTGACGAGAAGATTGCCGCCGCAGAGGCGGGCGAAACTCGTGCGTAGAGAATTGGCGCCAGATTGCCGCAGACTCCAGCGGACAACACACGCAGTGGCGCATGCACATGCCAGGGACAAAATGCCCCTCATTGAGACGCATGTCAGCGTCAGCTGGTGACCGGCCCAGACAGCCCTGCTGGTGGGGAAGCAAAAGGCGCGGCAACCGGCAACGGAACGGGGGGGAGAAGTCGCCCTTGCGGCGCCAAACTCCAGCCGAATCGCACTTGGGGGCGAGGCCAAGACGGACAGCAAGGCACTGTAAAGGCCACGGGCAGAGCGCGAGTCCGAGTGGCCAAAGACCAGGCGGGACCCACGTGTGTGCACACAGAGCCAGGCCGTCCTGGACCTCGGAAAAAGGGGGGTGAGCGCGGGCGAAAGCAACTAACTCAGACTCACTGCAGCTCCACGAGCATACGATGGTGCGGGAGGGAGACCCGACTCACCAAGGCTCACTGCAGCTGAGGTGTGGCTGATCCGAGTCAGTCTGGTGGGGACACGCGAAGCGTCAAGACTTCACCAAGTGCTTGGGGGGTGTCGAGTGCCTTCCGGGGGCTTCCTGCATGCCCTCTCTGAGGCTTCCCGCTAGACTGCCTCCGAGGCCGCAGGGTCCCAACATGCTTGATTGCAATCAGGGCGTCGATCTAAGGAACCCTAAATAAGGAACGAGGCCCTTTTTTTCTCCAGAAGTTAAACTTTGAATCCCCATCAAAAATCTGAAGAAAACCCAGGGCAAACTGTGAAACAATGAAGGAACACGGAGCCCCTCCCCAACGAGAAGGGTTCCTTCTTCAGCGCCCCGACTGTATTCTTAATCGCGCCCTGGCGTTTTGGTGTGCCATGTTGCATGCTGGGCTCTTGACAAACCGAAGCCGCAAACAACAACACAAACAGCGCGACTGTGACTTCTTAGCATAGTTGTTTGCGCTGGTTGGGCCGTCGCTGTGGGTCCTCATTTTCCAGCATGTCTTGCTCCGAGAAGGCGGCAGGACAATCCAACAGGGGCCTGAGGCGACCCAAGAGCGCTCCAAGACGCCCAAGACTGACTCAAGCAGGGGGCCCCTGAGATCCCCAAAGAGGGCTTCAAAAAGACGCCAGGAAATCTGTCAGGGCCCCCAGTCCAAACACATTCGAAGAATAGTGGAAGGGGAGGGGGTCCCCCCCGCGCCCCCCCCCAACCCTTGAGGCGAGTCTCCGATTGTGTGGAGGATTGGAAGGACGAGGCGAGGGGGAAAGACGAGCTAGGTGCGCTCGCGCCTCATCTGACATCCTACCCCTCCCTCCCATCCTGCCCACCCCTACCCATTCCTTCTCTATCCGCGGACGCGTGTAATAGCCGACCAGCGAATCATACAGAAAGACCACTTCGTGTTATGCGCGGTCGGAAAAAAAGGGGGCTGCGTACAGAGGAGGAGGAGGAGGAGGAGGAGAAGGAGGAGGTGGCGGGTGAGCAGGAGGATGAGCGGAAGGAAAAAGGATGAGGACGAACAACAGCAGCATTAACTAAGGTGGAAGAATTGATAGGAAAAGGAGAACCAGGGGAGAGCGGAGGAGGGGAAATGAGGGAGGCGACAACGATGAAGAGAGACTCGGATTCAGAAGTGGCCCGCGCTTGGGCAAGACGAACAGCAGCATCAGGAACTGAAGTGGAAGGAACGGAAGGAACAAAAGGACCAAGGGACGGCAGAGGAGGGGAAATGATGGGAGACCATCATGAAGCAAGACCCGGATCCAGAAAAGTGGCCTGCGCTGGGGCGAGAGCGCCATTCTGAACGACGGAAGCAAAGAACCGATCGGAAAATTAGGCCCACACTACAGCGGGAACATCAATTGGAAGCATTACGAAAACATGAGAACTAACTAATTTTGAGAAACCCTGTATCCAAGCAAACACAGCACGCGGAAGGGCTGGAGATTTTCCGGACCCCTTCAGGGGAAAAGGGAGAATAATGCTCACATTGTTTAACTGTGAAGGGGCACGGAATGTAGATAGGGACGGGGGCGCTTTCGGGAGGGGAGAGCGGCAAGAGGGAGGGGGGAAGTGGGACCAAGGGCCGGGGAAGCGGGCGGAGCAGAGAAGGCGGAGCAGGAAGAGGATCCAGGGGCGGTCAAGAGGGGGGCGTCCAAGAGGGGGGGCGCAAATCATGGCCGGCGGCATGTGCGCTGCCCAGGGGGAAGGCCAGGGACGTAATGAGACAAGAAGAGGCACCGTGAACTCTGAGGGAATACCATGGCCCACGCCGTGACGTCCCCGCCCCCCCTAGTCATCACCCCCCTCTTGGCGCTCCCCCGGAGGACGAAGGGGGCCGCCCGTGGGGCGGGGCAGGTGGCCCGGGAAGCCCTCCCAGGGGATGCGCCTCCCCGTCCGGCACCGGAGCCGAGTCCAGCCTGGGGGATGCTCGCAGAGTGGCCGCCCCTCGGCGCCTGGGCAAAAACTGCTGCAGGCGGCAGCCCCTCCGCCTCCTCACACCACGGTCGGGAGCCGCTGCCTAGCGTGTCGCGGCTACGCCTCGCGAGCGGACGCCAGGGTGCCGCTCCGCTCCTCGGGGCGGGAGAGGCTCGGCAAGGCTCGTGACGTCGACGCCTGGGGACTGCGGGAGTGGGTAGCGGGTCGCACCGAAGCATGGTGGGCCAGAACCAGCGGAGCGACACGCTAAGCCAAAGTTCTGGACCGGATACCTTCCCTGAGTCTTGCGATCAGAAGAATCACTACTGCTACTGCTCTGGTAATTCTTGCCGTTCCCCATACTCTTACGCATCGTTCCCCCGTCCTCGTCCTCCGTCTCCTCCCACCTCTAATCCTCTTGCTCCTGGTGCCATCCGCGTGGCTGTAGATAACGCCTCTGCGGGCACTTCTTGCAGCAAAGCCACGCACACCCACCGGCAAAGCCAGCCGCGTCCGCCCATCCCCCTCCCCTCTCGAGGGGGGGCGCATCCCCGCCATCACCTGTATTCCTCAGATTCCTCCTCTTCGTACTCCTCCTCCAAACTTCTCGACGTCTTCCCTGGGGCCAGCTTTTATCCTGAGTAATCTTTTGACGGTCCTGGGCCCTGGCAGGGGCCCCAATAAGCCGAAAATAAGCCGAAAATGGTATACTTAAAAGATTGGATTGGCGAAAGAACCAACCATATGCAGTTGTGAATGCCGTCGTTTTTAGTAACACCTTCAGTGGATCTCCTTATGGGGACACGAGGCGTGTAATAGTGTGCCGAAATGGGGCGGGGCCGCCATGCGGGCGCTCCTCCTGGGGCCTGTTGTAGAGCCCTTTTTAAGGACGCCAGGCGGGCGCTGCCACTGGAACCTTCGGTGGAGCTCCCTATGGGGCCACGGAGCGCGTGAGGGGTGTGCCAACATAGGGCGGCGCCGCCATGCGGACTGCGCCACTGGGACCTTCGGTAGGGCTCCCCATGGGGCCACGCAACGTGTGAGGGGTGTGCCGAAATAGGGCGGCGCCGCCATGCGGACTGCGCCACTGGGACCTTCGATAGGGTTCCCCATGGGGCCACGCAACGTGTGAGGGGTATGCCGAAATAGGGCGGCGCCGCCACGCGGACTGCGCCTCTGGGACCTGAGGTGGAGCTCCCTATGGTGCCACCAAGCGTGTGAGGGGTGCACCAAAATGAGACGGCGCCGCCATGCTGACTGCGCCACTGGGACCTTAGGTGGAACTCCCTATGGGGTCACGAACCGTGTGAGGGGTGTGCCGAAATAGGGCGGCGCCGCCATGCTGACTGCGCCACTTTGACCTTAGGTTGAGCTCCCTATGGGGCCACGCAGCGTGTGAGGGGTGTGCCAAAATGGGACGGCGCCGCCAAGCGGACTGCGCCACAGGGACCTTCGGCAAGGCTCCCCCATGATGATGACGACGATGATGATGATGACAATGGTAGTGGTGATGACGGCCATGCTGGTGATGATGATGCTGATGATGATGATGCTGATGATGGTGATGAGTATGCGGCTGATGATGATGAATAAGATAATGATGATGGCGACCATGAGGTTGATGTTGATGATGATGAGGATGCGGATGGTGAAGGTGATGATGATAATGATGAGGATGATAATGATGATGATGGTGATGATGATGGTGGTGGTGGTGATGATAATGGTGATGATCGACCGCATCCTGGCGTTATTCGCCCACAGCTGTCTACCTGAAAATAGTGTGACGTGCGGCAGCTAGGACACCGTTGAGCAACTCATCGTTGAGCGGCTGACCGAAGGCGCAGGTTGCCTTGGCAGTGAGATACCCGCGGTACTCAAGAACGCACAGCGTGAGGGCTGATGCGCGGGCCATCGCACAGATGGCGGGATTGTACTCGTTAGGGGCCGCGGGGCCCATCAGAAGAATGGGAGAGGACGGAAAATAGGGGAGGCGACGCAAGACAGGACAGGCGATGTACAGAGAAAACGCACCGGCCTCACCTAGGCAGCCGAGCAGGCAGGTGGAGGAGCCACAAACGTGCATGCGGCACGAGGTGGCCCCGCCTCCCGCGGGCATCTTGATGATGAACCATTGCCACGCTGAGCGGTAGGTGCGCAAAGTCACGAGGCACTCCCCCCACCGCTCCCCCACCGACCCCACCAACAGCTGCAGCTGACTGAGCCCTTCGCGGGCCGCTGCCGCGGCGGGGTGCCAGTGCACCTCAGAGACACCTGCAGCAGGCGGGCGGGCCGTCATGGCCTGGTTGCCTTGTGCAATGCCCTGCCGAAAGCAACTGCAAGGAGCACCCCAATTTGCCGCGCAGCCAAGCCACAAGCGGCAGGCCATGAACCACCTGCCCCGACCATACATGAAAGCCACGATGCCAATCTGCCAATGAATGATAAGCACAGCGCCAGAGACTGAGGATGCTGAGCAGCTGTGCGGAAGCAGGCGCGAAGAGAGCGTGCTCTTGCAGTGCAGACAGATCTGCCTCACGAAACGTGCAATGCGGCAACCGAGGAACGTTGTGCAGAGCGAACTTATCTTTTTGCAGCACACATAGTGGGGTGGGGAAGGGCTGTACAGGATAGCTGAGAAACGAGCGAGCAGAACTACTGTACAGCAACACAAGCACGAGCACCATTTCCTTTGTCTGGAGGCGCGGGTGAGCCAAACGGTCGCCCTCATAAAACACAAGAAAATCACGCGGCAACTCAGCAAAGCGTGGCTGAACTAAGCCAGTGTCGTCGGTGCACCCTCCCACCGCTCCACGACAATCACCCGGCGACGACGGCGGGGCCTCCCCCATCAAACGGCGCATCGGGTCCGTGATAATGGCCCAGGCAGAACCAGGGAGCGGGCAGCCCTGCCTCACCCCAGACTGCAAGTACAACATGAACTGCTGCTCACAATTTACAGGAGCGAGACTACGCGGTGCATGATAGAGAGCAGAAATCAGGTTACGATACCCCTCGGGCAGGCCAAACCGCGCAAGCACCGCCCAGAGCCAATCATGGCCCAGCGATGGAGATGCAGTAGCAAACTCGAGCGCAACAGAGACTGGACAGCCATGAGCCGTCGACACGCGAGAGCTCGCACGCATCGCAGCGGTGTCGCAGCTCGCTGGATTACTCAAGAAATTGCGACGTGGCCAAATACCCTGCTGGCCCTCATGCGCGCACGCCTGCCCGAGGTTCTCATGCTTGTGGTTGGCAGTCGCCGCGGGAATCTTAGGATCCATTAAGCGCAGCGATAGAGGCCTCACCTGCGAGGGCGACCGAAAAGCAATCATAAGCACCCGACGGCTCAGAGCCATTGGAAGGAAACGCAAACATAGAACAGTTCAGAGAGCATGGAGCAAAGTGGCCAGCCCTCAGATGCCTCAGGAGCACGTGGAGCACGCGGAGCAACTGCCTGAAATGGGCAGCAGCCCCAGGAGCGCCTCCAGCGCGCAGTGCTTGTTACGCCTCCTGAACCGCACGATGTGGAGCTGCGCCCACTTCGGCAGCAAGAAGGGGGCGAAACTGTCGCCGATAATCATCGTGATGAAGCAAGCGATCCACTCCGTTTTCCATGAGTAGGAGCCGCGATCCCTCTGCCGCGGAGGGGATCCGCAGCGCCGCCAACTCAGCATCTCGCCGCCGGGCCGCGCGAGAGATGCTCCTCATGGCGATCGATCGGTAGCCAACTGCGCGACGTTCAATGGGGCGAAAAAGAGACCGCTGAAGCACATCACGTGTCTGACGCGCCACCTCGGTCAGGAAGTCAATCATGTAGAGCCACCGCTGGAGCGGGGGGGGGCGATCCAGGTTAGCGACCGCGATGAACCCGTCCAGTATTTCTTTGTACCTAGCGTCGCAGAAGACCACATCAGGGATGCAGTGTTCCGCGGCGCGACTAGGAGCCTTGGGGCGCACGGTGAGGTAGAGCATGAAATGAGCGCTCAGCCTGGACTGCGACATCCCGTGGAGTCAATGTCCACGTAGACGAGCACATCGACGTCCAGGAAGAAGTGCTCAGGGATGCCGATGACCGCGCAAAACATCGCAGACGCCACGAAGTGCCGCCGACAGAAGTGAGTGGGGATCGGAGAACGAATCTCTTGAACGAGGACGAAGAGCAGGCGCCAGAACGTCTCGCTTGGCTGGTAGGTGCACGCCGTGCAGTGCGCACTCGACATCGGCGGGGGCTCGTCATAGCTGTAAGCTTTGCCATCGCGAACGCCGAAGTCACCCATAGCCAGGAATGCGCGCAGCATGGGGCCCTCCGCGTTCCAAGACGCAGCGCCACGCCAGTACTGGCCCTACGCTCCACGATCTAACTCTGAAGAACCATACTTGCGAACATTGGGCATCCCGAAGACAGCGCCATTGATGGGGTGAGCGATCTCCAAAGCAGTGACGCGCCCATGGACGAGCGGATGACGCCGAACCGCCGGCCGAGTCTCATCGGGTAGTGCCTGTGGCCGCGGGGCCAAAAAAGCGGCGCCGCCCTTGCGTGCAGCCTCGGCCTGGGAGTGGAAGACCAAGTACGGGAAGGGAAGGGGGGGGGGCTTACACGGCCTCCAGCTGCAAAGAGACTCTGTGGCACTCTTGAATGAGCACGATGGCACCCCTCCTCAAGAGCTTCTCGATCTTGGCAAGCTTACACCTCCCCCGCGCGGCTGGCATCAGCGCAGGCCACGCGCATTCCTGCTGACCGCATACGCGCCCGCTGGGCTGGGAGAGGAACACCGCGGAGACCAGCGGGGGCTAAATGGACCACAGCGAGGCGTCGGCCGCGCGAAAGAGCCGCTGGAACTCGGCGGCGATTGCAGCCTTTTCAATGTTGAACCGTTGTAGAACTTGCCCATCCCACCGAAGCCACGTGCTGTCAGCAGCAGTAGAGCCAATCTCGAGCGCGACGAGCGGGACCGCATCGATGGATCTGATACCTTCGTCGCCAATGCGACGGCAGTGATGTTGAGAGCGCCGTTCGGAAAGCAAGCGAACCAGACGCTTGGACTGTAGTTTTCGCCTGAGCTGCTTGGGTGATTTGTCTGCGTTGATGTAGAGAGGCGTGATGGCCCCAGACGTGTTCGGAGCAGAGAATGTTCTCCATTGGCTTCTGTTGCGCAAATTGCGCGCGAGCGAAATACTCCTCGTTGAAGCTGCAGGACCTCCCAGCACTCGGAAAAAGAAAGAACCTACGCGATGGGACATCACCAGTGAACTCGGCGTCGCTGATGGGGACACCTGCTGCAGTGATCCAGGGTCCAATGAGCGCCGAACCTCCGCAGGCTCGATGGCCGAGGGCGCTCCGATGCTGAAACGGCGAGGGTCGGGTGGGCGATCCCATATTGCGAGTGCAGCCATGCCGAGCGGCGGGAGCGTGGCCTCTGCCATGGCGAGAGAAGACTGCATGCGCATATGCTGCTGCTCCTGCTCGACAATCTGCGTGCGACAGCCGAGCTCACGGAAAATGGTGTCAAAAGATGCGGCCCCGTTGCTGATGCACCTGCGAAATGACCAGCTGGAACTCGCTCTGGAGCGCGGTCGTCGCTGACTGCATGATGGCGGCGGTTTCTTGCTGAAGGCGTCGCGTGGCTTTCTGCACGTGGTCTGAGAAGACGGCAGCGAGGCGCTCCTCCAGATCGGCAGACCCTGGAACATGTAGCCTCCGTTTGTCAGGTTCACGAGAGGGTGGAGCCGACCGCTCGAGCTTCTGCCAGGGGTCACAGTGGTGAAGCGCGTGCTCACCAGTTCGTCTCTCTTCGTCAGGAAAAGTGGGGTAGTCCTCCCATGCTCGGAATACCTCAGCATCAACTGCTTGATGGTGTCCTGGCTGTTGTAGTCGACGTTGTGAGGCGGGTCCTCCTGACGTGCCGGCGCGGCGATCCACTGGTGTGAGCTGTCTGTCGTCACGAAGTGCTCTGCGTTGTCGATGTTGACCACGATCGCTGCGGGAACCACTGGCATCACCTTCGCGGCGACGCTGCCTACGCCGGTCCCTCGCCGGGCTGGAGTAGGACCTCGAGCTGCCGCTTGAAGCCATAGCGAAGAACACTGTCGTGGCCAGAGAAGGGGGACGGGACGATCCACCTGTAACCGAACGGCAGCGATCTCAACACCACGGAGAAGACAGAACGCCAAAAGATGGAAGATATGGAACCCTGGCGGGCGGCAGCTCGCCCCGGAGTGTAGGTGCATGAACGAATGAGCAGTGGTCTGGAATGGGAGCCTACCCCGCATATGCAGTGAAGAAAACCATCTTGGCAACTTGAGCCAAAACAGCTACGGTATGATGATGATGATGATGATGATGATGATGATGATGAGAATGCTGATGATGATGATGATGATGATGATGATGATGCTGATAATGATGATGATAATGATCATGATGATGATGCTGATGATGATGATAATGATAATGATGATGATGATGATGATGATGATGATGATGATGATGATCATGATGATGATGATGATGATGATGATGATGATGATGATGATGATGATGGAGGGAGGAGGGGGAGGAGGAGGAGGAGGAGGAGGAGGAGGAGGAGGAGGAGGAGGAGGAGGGACGCGCGGCGCTGTTTCTTCAAAGCGTGGACCCGACAACATAGGATGGTTGGGAAACATGTTTTTTCACGACGCAAAGACCTCGGATAGTTCTGGCTCACAGAGCGGCCTCAATACCGCACGGATCTCTCCAGGGTGCGCTCTGACCCGAGTTTCGAGGAGAATGCAGCCGTGGCGACGAGGGCCCCCCAGGGCGAGCAGCGGAACCGTTATCGATGCATCGGCGGCGCTGGCGTGGAGAAAGTCGCTCTCCAAATCGAGACGCACCGCCGATGCATCGGCGATGCGACGCAATCCTCCGACTCGAACTACTCCGTCCCCATCTTGGAGGCCTAGAATATGATCCTCCTCTAGGTGGCGACATCCGAGCCCTACCCCCACCAACAATCGATTCTCCTGTCACTCTTGCGTGTAGTCGAAAAATAAGGGCGCCACATGCGAACCCTACCCCTACCCCCCACGATTTCTGAGGGGGGGTGGGGCTCACTTCGCTCGGGGGCTTCTCGAGCGGAGTAAACCCCACCCTCCCCTAGGAAATCGTGGGGGGTGGGGGTAGGGTTCGCATGAGGCCCCCCTGGAAGAAATCATGACGGGAGGTGTTTCCATATTTTCGGCATCTGGGGGCCCCTACCGGGCCTCGGGGCCGTCAAACAACTATTCATGATGAAAGCCGGTCCAGGGGAACGGGTCGAGACCTGCAGGGGTCGACGCAGTGAAACAATCATGACGTCGGGGGATCTGGGGAGCGCAGGCGGGCGAACAACCGAAATGCCACGGGCTGAGAGCAGTCGCCCCGAGGAGGCCCCCGCCGGCGCACGCGCGCGGACGGGAGCGCCCCCGACGCCCCCGCAGCAGGCGATGTCCGTGGAAAACTATGGTTGAAGGGGCCCTGGGACAGACAAACAAAATACGCACAAATAAAAAGATTCCCAAGATTTTCGCAAATCTTCTGGGTTCTCGTCTTTTCGGGGGGATCGACGATGAATGGTGTCTGTGTTTTTGTCCCTCCTGAGGAATGGCGGGCAGGGCAACTCTGTGCCCCGATGTTCAGCAGGGGCCGGCGGTCCTGGCATCCCTATAGGCCTACCACGAACTGCCCTTCGAACTGCAGCATGCCACAGGGGCAAAACCAAAATGAGTTCCTCAAAACAGCAGGGCCTCGGCCAACAGAAACCTCTGAGAACCTGTCGCGCAAACTGCAACAGGCCTCTCGGAACCTCCCCGGGGGGCCCACGGGCAGGCCACGGACCGCTGCGCCCCTGCCTGGACGCTGTGCTCCGCGGCGCCGGGCGGGCTCCTGGCTTACGCGGAGAGGCCCCAGGGCCGACCGAGGCGGCCCGCCGCCGGGCGCCCCCCCCTCCCCCCCCTCCTCCTCCTCCACCTCCTCCTCCTCCTCCTCCTCCTCCTCCTCCCTCCTCTCCTCCCTCCTCCTCCTCCCCTCCTCCTCCCTCCTTCTCCCTCCTCCCCCTCCCCCCCCCCACCCCCGCGGGCGGTGCTCCGTGTCGCCGCCCTCTTGACGTAGATGCCCGCCCCCTGGCGAGCGCCGCTGAGCGAGGGCGCCCCCCCCCCCCCCCCCCCATCGGCTCCTGCTCGATCCGGATCCACGACCTGCGTCGATCCTCCTAGACAATCCAGCCTCCTCGATGCTTGACCCTCCTCGATGCTCGATCCTGCTCGATCCCCCTCGACTCTGGATGTGCTCCGTCGCCCCCTCCTCGGGCCCGAGGCCGCCCAAGGATCGCGGAGGCTCCTCGGCGCCTCGCTGCCCCGCGCCCCCCGTTCCCTCGATCGGCCCGCGTGCCCTTGCCGGACCGCCCCTCGGTCCGGATCCGAGTCGCGCGGCCAAGGCTGCTCCTGCTTGCGGCTGGCCGGGTGCTGTGTGAACCGTGCTGGCTGTTTGCCCCCCGCCCTCATGGCAGAGACCCTCTGGCGTGCCGAGCAATCCAATGCGGAGGTGTGGCCGTCGCGTTCGGCCTCGGGGGGGCCCTCGCTGGGCCCCGGTACTTCCGGGAGCGAGATCGGCACAAGCACACCGGGCAGCTGTGAACATCTGCATGGCTGGGCTCGCGCGCAGAACGCCTGGAGGCCATCTTGCTGGCTACGCATGCGGAAGACCAGCCTTCGTCCGGCCATGCGACGGCCGCGCACCAGCATGACATGCGGCCACATGCCATTCCAGCTCCCGCTCACCTCCTCCTCCTCCTCCTCCTCCTCCAATTCCTCCTCCTCCTCCTCCTCCTCCTCCTCCTCCTCCTTCGGGCAGCGGACGGCCACGCGTATCCAGCTTCCTGTAAACGCTTCTGGAAATGCGCGCGGATCGAGGACATCCGCGCGGACCTCCGAAAGCTCGATTCCGCGTGCAAGGGGGGCGAGGATCGAAAGTCGCGGGCCGAGGATCCCGGCTGTTGCGGACGCTCTCTCGGCCACTTCCTGCGCCTCGGCAGGCGACCTCAGCAGAGGCCCCTCTTGGGGTACTGGGTTATGACTGACTGACTGGCCGACTGACTGACGGACTGACTGGCTGACTGACTGACGGACTGACTGGCTGACTGACGGACTGACGCGCACATCGGGCTGGAGGCCGTCCCGAGGCGGGGCGAGCGGCGCAGCCTCGTCTCCATAAGACGACGCCAAGACGAAGACAAGATCGGGTGAGGATAAATCGAGAATCTCGGAGATCTGGTGGCTCTGGAGGATGTCTCGGGCGCCGCGGCCTTCTCAGAGCGTTCTGGCACGCTCTGAGAGCGTTCCCCGGAAGGCTCTGGAACGGACTGATCCTCGAGCCCCGTCCGACTCCATCCGCCATACCTTCCCATGCCTCTTCTCGCAGCCGCTCTCGCCTGTACCTTGTGCGCGAATTAATCGGGGGCGATAACTGGGGGGGGGGGAGAAAGGTGCCCGTTTCGGGCCCTAAGGCCACCGTACGGGCCCGAAAGGGCCCCTTGAGGGGCACTACGGGGCCCATTTCTAAAGCCCTCGCTGCCCCTCTCATTTACCGCATCCCATCTATCGCGACCCAGCCTCTCCTCTCCCTGCTGGCCCCGGCTGGCTTCCGTTCCGCCCCTTCCTCACCTTGCTCCCCTTGTCCTGAGAGCGTGCCTTCGGCAAGGGGGGGGGCAGAGGACGCCGTGGCACCTCGCGGATCTGCATGGCTTCATGCTCCAGGCCACGCGCCGATCCGATGCTTACGTGTGCCGTGCGCTCTTCTTCGAGGAAGGCCCGATACACTCACGCCGCTTCTCGTTCCTCGTCCAGCGCTGGCTCGACGCCCTCGTGCCGCCGACGCCGCCGTGAACGAACCCGCCCAAACCACCCTCAGCCGGACTGGTGCCCCCTTGCGCCAGGCGTGGGTGTGCTGATCGGCTTCCTCGAGGTCTCCCGCCCAAGGCACAGGGTCGGAAGGGTGCGCATGCGAGTTTCTAGTTGACGCTGCTACGAGCTTGTTCTGCTGACCCCCTCTTCCCTGCTGCTGGAGGCTTGGAACTGGGCACCAGCACTAACACAGGGGGGGTGCCTCGGCAGGGGGAAGATGATCCTAGATCCGGGTGCTGGTGGTGATCTTTTGGTCGCCTGGGAAGCCAGGATATGACCACCATCACCGAGCTCGGGACCTTCTTCCCTCGGTGGAGGCGCACCGCCGATGTCGGTGTTGGTGCCAACCTCTCGGCCTGCGATGCTGCTCGCCCGCCGCAGCGACGGCGCGCGTGCGGCGTTCGCTGCGGCCTCCGCGCGGCGGCCCGCGCGCGCCCGCGATCCCCTGCGCGCCCCGCGCCGAGCCGGGGCGCGCCGCACATGATCCCGGGCTCGTGGCCCACGGGCCTCCCCCCCAGATGGGACGGAGGGGGACAACGACGACGACGAAGACGACGACGATGATGAGGGCACCTTCCGCTGCAGCTCCCTGAAGCACCACGACACCACGCCACAGCCAGAGGGAGGCGACGCCGGGGAAGGCACTTTCTCTCCCTAGTCATGCCTAGGACGGCGACGCATGTGCCGATGCCGATCCCGATGCCGACGCTGATGTCGTCGTCGTCCTCCTCCTCCTCATCCTCCTCCTCTTCGTCCTCCTTCTTTTCCCTCCTCCTCCTCCTCGGCGTTGACCTCCTCCTCATCCCCCTCCCACATGGAAGGGCCAGACCACCACCAGCACCACCCCCACCACACCACGCCCACAGGGGGAGGGGGGGGCCATCGCGCGGTGGGGGAGGACCCGATGGCATCATCGTGAAGGGGGGAGCCAGGCATATATATATATATATATATATATGTTTATCTGTGTATATATACGCATATATATATATATAGCACACTGGGAGCCCAGACATATTCGCCTCGCCGAACAGATCGCGACGGAGTGTGTGTGTGTGTGTGTGTGTGTGTGTCTGGCCGTCGGCCTCCAGGGGCCCTCGCCGGGCCCCGGGACCGTGAACAACAGAGACGCCCAGGATGAGAAAACGGTCCCGAGGAAGGGGTCGGAGTTTATACATATATATATATATATATAGATGCATACATATATATATATAACTATATAGATATAGCAGGGCCACGCAGTACGAACCAACAAAAGAAGAGAAAATCGCACGCCTGGGAAACAATCAGTGACCCCCCACCCGCCTCCGCCTCCAAATCATCCTCATCCTCCGCCCGCCCGCCAGAAACAATAGTTCCCAGACTATTTTTCTTAGTTTTGAATATTCCCCCTGTAGAGGAAAGGGCCCGGCTTAATTCTACTGCTCTCCCCCCCTTGCTCCACCCCTTCTCCCTCTCCGCCTTCTGCCCTCCACCCCATCGGGGGCCTCCGAACCTCCCCCCCTCCCGAGGACCAGAAGCGCCCGAGCACCTCCATCCTCCACCTCGCTCCCTCCTCTCCTCCACCTCTATCTTGCTCGATCTTGCTCCCTCCTCCATCCTCCCTCCTCTCCTCCATCCTCGATCTTGCTCCCTAGATCCCTGCGCCGCAATGTGTCCTGAGAGAAACGGGTCCTGTTCTCGGGCCTTCATCGGGGACCTGCATTTCAGCCTGGACAAATTGTGCTGACGGCCTCGGGTGTCGGGGAGGGCCCAGGGAGCTCGAGGACGGCGAAAAACATCTGGACCCAGTTCCTTCATGACCCCTCTCCTTCATGACGAACTCCCCCTCAGACTTCTCCTCCCCTTCTCCGCTCCTACGGCTTCGGATGTAGGCATGCGAACCCTGGGCCGGACGCTACCATCCTCCTTCACTCCTCCTCCTCCTCCTCCTCCTCCTCCTCCTCCTCCTCCTCCTCCTCCTCCCCCTCGTCCTCCTCGTCTCGGCTGTAGGCTGGTGGCATCGGAATCCTGGGCCAGACGCCGCAATCGCCTCCTCCTCCTCCTCCTCCTCCTCCTCGTTTTCCTCCTCCCCCTCCTCGTCGTCCTTCCCCTCCTCCTGTCACCTCCTGAACCCATAGCATGATTCTACTGCGTTCGAATCATGCTGGCGATTCCGTCATGTTGCGCCGTTCGGCCCAGCGGCCTCGCCTCGCTCGGCGGGGCTGGCCCAGGCGGGAAGATATGGTGCCTCTGCCTGCGAGCAATCACTCCTCCTCCTGCTCCGCCTCCTCCTCCGCTGGCCCTTGCGAGGACTTGTAGCGAAGCGAGCAATCACTCCTCCTCTTCCTCCTCCTCCTCCTCCTCCACGTCCTACTCCTCCACGTCCTACTCTTCCTCCTATTCATCCTCCCGTGCCTCCCCCTCCTCCTCCTCCTCCTGCTCCTCCTCATCCTCCTCCTCCTCCTCCTCCTCCTCTCCTCCTCGTTGACCTCTTCCTCCTTCTCCTTCTCCTCCTCCTCCTCCTCCTCCTCCTTCTCCATCTCCTCCTCCACCTCGTTGACCTTTGCATCCTCCTCCTACTCCTCCTCCGCCTCCTCCTTGATCTTCTCCTCCTCCTCCTCCGCCTCCTCCTCCTCCGCTCCCGCTCAATGCCTCCTCGCCCCATGCTCCTGGCCGCGGCGCGCCCTCCCTCCTGGAGCGCTCCGGGGGGGCTCTCCGCGGCCCCCCCCGCGGCGCGCCCTCACTGCGTCCTGCGGAGGGCGCGGCCCGCGCAGGGGGTGGGCGGGGGGATGAAAGGTCACTTTGGGCCGGGCGAAAGGGGGGGATAGCAAAGGGGGGGTTTGAGATTCAGCTTACGTAGCTGATTTTCCCGGCGCCTCCCGGCGCCGGCAGGCGCCCATGTATCGAGGAATGGGCCCGGCGGCGGGGCCGAAACCAGCTGCATGCAGCAGATTTCGTACCCCCCCCTTTCCCTATCCCCCCTTTCGTTCGGCCCGATCATTGCACTGGCCTCGCAGACGTGCTGCAGCGGATTTCTGCGTGGATTTCTGACTGGATTTCTGCCCGAAGCGGCGAGCGAAAAACGAAGTGCATTTCACATGGGTGCTTTGTGGTCTTCATGTCTGGCCAAAAGAAAATCCGCACGAAATTCACCTCGAAATCCAGAACGAACTTCTCGGGGACACTCTGGGCCCATCATATCGTTTTCCAAACGAAATCCGCTCTGCGATGGCGCCATGAGAAAGGAGGACCAGAGCAGGAGAACCCTGAGATCCTCGCGACTGAACTTTTCGAGCCCGCCCCACTTCGGCACCCCGGGACCCTCACAGATCGATCTGGCTCGGAAAGTTGGACAGAAAGATGGGGTCCGGGGGTCCGGTCGAGATTTGTTTTGCGATGTTGCATGTTTTTGGTAACGTCGGATCTCAGGGAAGGTTTCGCCTGATGCTCTGGAGCGGGGATAGGAAGGGGGAGAGAGGAGACGAGAACTGGCGAGGGGGGAAGCGGCGAGGAAGACTCGGAAGGAGGAGGAAGACGGAGAGGAGGAATGACACGAGGAATAAAGGAGGTGGGGGAGGAAAACGAGGAGGAGATGAGGAAGGAGGGGGATGAAGCGACGAAGATTGGGGGGGAGGGGGAAGGCGACGAGGATGGGGAGGAACGGAAGATACGACAAGCCTAGTTTTGATTACGGGCTCTCGGGTTGCATGTGCCTGCCCTCGTGGGCCCAAGGTGGACCAGAAGCAACAAAGCCGCCCCACCCACAAAGAAGTGAGGGGCATTACGAAATGAAGAAAACACAGAAAGGCGAAGGAGGAAGGTTGGTCATTCACGAGGAGTGGGGACGAAGATGGCGGGAATCGAGGGTGACTTGGAGAGGCGGCGGAGGAGGAGGACGAGGAGGAGAAGGATAATGAGGAGGAAGACGACAATGAGGATGTGGAGAGAAGGGGGAGAGGATAAGGGGGATGGAGGGGGACGAAGGAGGAGGGAGGAGGAAGGAAGGGAGCACGGAGGATGATGAGGAAGGAGACCAGTGTAAACGTAAGAGTCATCAACGATGTTGCAGTTAACCCTCCCTCCAAGCTCCCTCTTCAAGATAGCGTTTGTTTATGCTCGGCGATGACGGGCGTCATGGGGGGGGGGGGGGGGGGCGGGGGGGGGTATGACGTACCCCCCCCCCCCGCGTATGGCTCCGGCACCACAGCCGCGCCCGCGCGCATGACGCGACGAGCGACGAGCGACGAGGACGACGACGACGAGGACGACGCGAGAAAAATGTAGGTGGCGCTATGCCCCACTGCGCCTGTGTACACATCGCTCGCGTGCACCACAACGCGCGCGAACATCACAACACCTGCGTACACCGCAAGAAACGTGTGCAACGCAGCGCCTGTGTACACCACAGTGCTTGTGTACACTGCAGCGCCGGTGTACATGTGTACACCGCAGCAACCATGTGCAACAGAGCGCCTATGTACACCACAATGCTTGCGTGCACCGCAGCGCCTGTGCACGCCACAGCGCCTGTCTACACCACAGCATCCGCGTGCAACGCAGCGCGACTGTACACCAGTGCCTGCGTGCAGGACAGTGCTGATAATCGAATACGACGTTCTTCCCTCTTCCCTCCTCCTCCACCTCCACCTCCACCTCCACCTCCTACTCATCCTTCTCATCTTCGTCCTCCTCCTCCTTCTCCTCCTCTTCCTCCTCCTCCTCCTCCTCCTCTTCCTCCGCCTCTTCCTCCTCCTTACCCCCTGTCGCGCGCGCAATTCAGCGCGCAGTGCACCGCATAATGGTCCTTTGAATCGGTCCACTTGGTTCTCGCACGGCCAGCTTAGCTGGAGCCTCCTGGACGCAGATGGGAGAAGTTAGGGTGATGCGGGCGGACTCGGGAGAAATCGTAGATTCCAGCGGCGCTCCTTTGTCCATAAGGATTTATTTGTATTGTTTCCTGTGGAATCCACAAGTGCTCCATTTTGTCTTACGGATTCCTTCTAACATTCGATATGCAAGTATGGCGCTGTGTTGCACACGATTGCTGTGGTGCACACAGGCGCCGTGGTGTACACAGGCACTCTAATGCACGCAGGCATTCTGGTGTACACTAGTGCTGTGTTGCACGCGGCTGATGTGGTGTACGCAGGCGCTGCGGTGTACACAACAATTTTTGACCCGCAAGCACGGTGGCACAAACTGACGCTGTGTTGCACGCGGCTGCCGTGGTGTACGTAGGCGGTGTGGTGTACACAGGCGCTGTGGTGCACGCAAGCACTGTGGTGTACACAGGCGTTGTGGTGCAAATCGCCACCTACATGCTGGTGCTACCCGTCCTCCGTCATTCCTAGGCATTCCCAGACGCCGCCGGCGCGAAACATGATGTCATCGACCCCCTCCACACCCCGTCAGATGATTGCCGTGATCGGCCCGGAACAAATGACAGGCTCCAGCCGAGTCCGTGCGCACGACGACGATGAGCGACGAGCCACGAGCGATGACGACGACGACGACGACGACGACGACGACAACTGCGGACCAGACTCCAATGCGGATTCTTACGCAGGCACCTACGCGGATCACAGCGCGCACGGCGGCAGTGCCCGGAGCGCACTGGGGGGGGAGCGTTACGTCATGGGGGGGGGAGCGGGGGCCATGACGCCCGTCATGCCCCAAGCAATAAAGGAATGGTATCCATAGGCCCCTACACTGGTTCAATTCCATTGAGGGAACTGCCTCGTTGGAAGACAACCGTATGAAGATCCTGAAGCATACCAAAACATCGGCTTCGGAATTTCAGCGCCACGGATCAACCTGACTGCTGCGTCTTGCCAATCCAGAATCGTGCCGTAACGCCGTTGTTGGGATTTCAGCACCGCGAATCAACATAACTGTTGCGCCCGCATAATCCTGAACCCTTCCAAAACACTATTTCTGCTGCGCTGATCATGGGAATCCGTAACAAATGTGCGCGGCGCAAAGGTGAGAACCACATTTTGAAAAGGAAACGCCTTCAACCCGTGAAACTTAAAGTACAAAACAAATGTGCGTGGCGCTAAGGTGAGAACCACATTGTGAAAACGACCCGCCCTGAATCAGTGACACTCTTGCAAATTGCTTTAAAGAATGTGCGCGGCGCCAAGGCGAGAACCACATTTTGAAAAAGACCCGCCCTCAATCCGTGAAGCTTTTGCAAATTGTTAGAACGAATGCGCGCGGCGCTAAGGCGAGAGCCACATTTTGAAAACCACCAGCCGCCCCATCTGCGAAACTGTTGCCATTTTTAAGCTTCAAAATCACACATGGTGAGGAGGTCTCGGGCTAAACACCCGGCCCGACCTAAAAACTTGCCTCGGGGTGCGACAGGGAGAAGTTCTCCAGAATGAGAAGGGATGGAGGAGGAGGAGGAGGAGGAGGAGGAGGAGGAGGTAGGGAGAAAAGCATGACTACACGATCCAATCCGAACAAGGTAAGCCCGTTTGAGCTGATGATTCCGTTTGGACTAGATCTGGACCAGGTCCGCACGACTCTTATTCAATGAACAAATCGACCATATCGAGATCTGGTCCACTAGCCCTGCTTCGCCTTGGGAAAACCGCCGTGAGCCCTGGGATGTGCCCCGAAACGCGCCCTGAAACGCGCCCTGGGCGGCACCCGGGGAAACGCCCTGGGAGGCGCCCTGGAGAAAACGCCTCGGGAAACGCCCCGGGAAGCAAGCTAAAAAACGACCTGGGGGGTCCTGGGATGCGCCCTATGAAAGGCCCTGGGACGCGCCCTGGGGGGCGCCCTTGGGGGCGCCCTGGGAGGCGCCCTGGGAGGCGCCCTGGGAAGCGCCCGGGAAAGCGCCCTGGGAGGCGCCCTTGGACGCGCCCGCGCCATAAGGGGGAGCCATGGGGAGCGCCCTGGGAGGCGCCATGGGGAATGCTCTGGAAGGCGTCCTGGGAAGTCTTCAGGGGGGCGCCCCAGGGAGAACGCTGGGACTGGAGGGAGCCCTGGGGGACGCCCTTGAAGGACCACTGAGAAGCTTGTTGACAAACAAGAGGCGAGGGCCTCTTAACACGTGTGCTTCTCTTCCCGACCACCGTGGACTGCGCGGGCCGGGTCGAAGACGGGAGCGGGAACGGCAGCCGCGGTGGCTGTGTGGAAACAAAAAACGACTGCCTTTTCTGACATATTCTTCTTTTCCCAACCACCGCAGATGCGATTGGAAGCTGGATACGATGGCCGCTAGATGTGTACATATATACGTGTGTACAGGTGTATGAATATATATATATATATATATATATATATACATCTATATATAATCCTTATCCCTGCCACCGTACATTGCGTGGACCGAATCGAACACTGGAGAGGGAACGGTAGCTGCAATGGTGCGTTTGGAAACAGGAAGGCGTGGCCCTGTTGTTGACGGATCCTCTCCTCCCAATCACCGCAGCTTGCGCGGGTGGAGTCGAAAGCGGGCGCGGGGGCGGCCGCCGCAATGGTGCGCTTGGAAGCAGGAGATGGTGGGTTTTGTTTGACTGTTCTACTCCGGCCCACCCGCCGTAGATCGTGGGCGGGAGCGAAAACGGACACTGAAACAGAGGCGGCAATGGTACGTTGGGGAACAAGAGATTATGACCTTTGTTTGAATGTGCACCCCCGCCCAGCCCCGTTCGAGCGCGCGGGCGGAATCGAAAGAGGGAGCGGGAGCGGTCGCCGTAATAACACGTTTGGAAGCAGGAGAATATGGTCGTTTTTCGGATGCTCCTCTCTCCAAACTCCGCGGGCTGTGCAAGAAGAAACGAACACGGAAACGGAAAGGTCGCCGCAATGGCGCGTTAGATAGCAAGAGACCATGACATTTTGAATATTGTCCGCTCATTCGACCAACTGTAGATTGCGCGGGCGGAAGAGAAATGGCGCAATAACGGGCCCAATAATGGTGCGTTTGCACGCAGGACGCCACGGCCTTTTTCTGAAAGTTCCTTTCCTCCCAACCACTATAAATGGCGCGGGCGGGATCGAAAGCGGGCGCGGGAATGGCCGCCGCAACGATGCGTTTTCAAGCAAAACGCCATGCACTGTTCTGTTTTTCTTGAATGTCCGCTCCTCTGACACATCGCTGGGTTCCGCGGGCTGCAGAAACAGCGAACGCGGAAACAGCCGCCGCATTTGGGCGTTTGGACGCAGGGGCTGCAGTATGTTGCTTGAATTCTACGTTCTCCGCTCGCTTTCGCCGTTTAGAAAGTGCAGACCGGCAGGGGGAATTGACCGCGGAAGCTGCGCCCGCAGCGATGCGCTTCCGCGTCGGACATGTTTGTTTTGTATCGGGGATGGACAGACCCCCCTTTAGTAAAACGTGGTTTAGTGAAAACGACCTGAGGCCCAAACCTGGCGGGCGCAAGCCTGGAAAATGACGGCCACGGCGCCCTCTCGAGAACCGAAAACGGACAATTCACTAATCGACGTGTCACTGTTAGGGGTTCTGTCCACCCCCGATTGTGGATTTGTTTTTTGTCTGTGGCGCGCGCGCCCACCGCTGACCTTGCCGATGCTAGTTCTGGCGCTCTCGGACCGCGAATCGGTCCGTCTCGATCGTCCGGTCCGCTCGAGATCGTACATCGGTCCATTCCAGATCGTGAATTGGTCCGTTTTGAACCCTGAGTTGGTCCGTTTGGGGTCCCGAGTCGGTCCGATCTGGATCCTGAGCCGGTCCATTTTGGCACGCGGTCAGTCGATTCACTGTCCAGAAATAGGCCAGTCTGTGATCTCGTTGAGCTTACGCATGGATCGACTCACGATTGAAGAAGGGCGGATTCACGATTTAGCGTGGGCCGACTCAGGATCCAGCCCGAGACCGATTCGCGATCCTGAACGTGCTAGATCGCGATTTGTTTTATTCTAGATCGTGAATCGAGCCGATGCCAAATCAGAAGGGCGAAGATGAGGAAGAGGACACTGGAGGGGGCGAGAAAAAGAGCCTTCCTCCTTCCCTTCCTCGCACCCGCGTCCCTCCTGCTCTGCGTCCCTCTTCCTCCTCCTCCTCCTCCTCCTCCTCCTCCTCCTCCTCCTGTGCCAAGCCCGCACACACGGGCGGTCCAAAAATGGGTAGGGATCCCCCGAGGGGCCTGGAGACTCCGGAGCCAAGGTCTGGCAAGCGGCGTGCGCCGATCTTCTTCTTCTTCTTCTTCTCCTTCTTCTTCTTCTTCTTACTCCCCTTCCTCCTCTTCATCCTTTTCCTCTTCCCCCTCCCACTCCTCCTCCTCTCTCCCCTCCTCCCCCTCCCCCTCCACCTCCTCCTCCTCCTCCTCCTCCTTCTCCTCCTCCACCTCCACCACCTCCTCCTCCTCCTCCTCTTCCTCCTCCTCCTCCTCCCCCCCAGGGCGGCCACGAAACGTGTGAGGGGTGTGTCGAATCGGGTGCGGGTGCGCACGATTGTGATGAAATGAGGGCACGCGCAGGGCAGAAGCAGGTATGGGTATGGGAGGAGGGATGGGGGCGAGGAGGAGAGAGGGGGGACGTGGGGCGCTGCCTCTTCAGAACGAGAACCCCGACACCACAGGATGGTTGGGACAAGTCGATGCCCATCCACTCAGCAGTCGTCAGAGAGCTGCACGTGGAGGCCTGGACGCACACAGTGAGGCGACACGAGCAAATCCGAAAGCGACTCAAAGCACTGGGCACAAGGACGGGATGACAACCCTGGACGAGAAAAACAATCCCCAACCCCAGCGGGGAGCCCTTGTCCCCACGGGGCAACCTCCCCCCCCCATGGGCGGGGAGGGGTGCCGTATCCTGCGGGTGTTGGAGGCGCCCGCCCCCGCCTAGAAAGGAGCACGCTGGGAGATGCCCTACCCCAGTGGGGGTGCGGAGTGGCCTGACGATGGTGAACAACTCCTGCGACCCACGAAGGCGATGCCCTTCCCAGGCCCCCTCGGGCAATGAAAAAATCATGACGGGAGGTTGTTCCATATTTCCAGCCCTCGGGACCGTCAAAGAACGACCAGGAGGAAACACCGGTCCAGGGGAAGGGGTCGAGACCTCTGAGGGTCGACGTTATGAGACAGTCATGACGTCTGGGGTCTGGGCTTCTGGAACCCACCGCCTGACCCTGGAACGGGGCACGCTGGGAGAGCCGACTCACCCTACCCCCGTGGGGGTGGGGAGTGGCCTGACGATGATGAACAACTCCTCCTCCTCCTCCTCCACCACCTCCTCCTCCTCCTCCTCCTGCGACCCTCGAAGGCGAGGCCCTTTATGCAGCCCACCGCCTGACCCTGCGAAGAGCCAGCAGCAATGACGACCTGCCCCTGACGGCGGACTTGCCGACATGGCGCACGCCGCCGGCGAGGCGGGCCGGGCGCACCCTAGGGCATCCCCAGACTCCCAGAGAGGGAGGCCCCAGCCAGGGAGGTTCCTCCTCCTCGTCCTGCTGCTCCTCCTCCTCGTCCTCCTCCTCCTCGTAATCCTCCTCCTCGTGCTCCTCCTCCTCCTCCTCCTCCTCCCTCTCCCATTCCTCCTCCATCCCATGCTTGGTTAAATGACTCCTCCCTGTCGCACATCGAGGCGTGTCGGTAGGACGGGCCGGGCGTTGCGCCTACTATTCCGTCAACATTTTGGGTCATTGAGCTGAGAGATTGGAAAAAGCTTCACGGATGGAAGGCGGGCCGTTTTCAAAATGTGGCTCTCGCTTTGGCGCCGCGCAAATTCGTTTCAAAACATTGCAAGAGTTTAGCGGACGGATGGCGGGCCGGTTTCTCAAAATGTGGTTCTCGCCTGAGCGCCGCGCAGATTCGTTTTACAGCACTGCAGGAGCTTCACGGATGAAGGGCGGACCGTTTTGAACATGATATTCTCGCCTCAGCGCCACGCGCCCTCGTCTTCAGCATGTGCAAGCGTTTCACAGTTTGAAGGTGTCTGCTTGTGTTAAATGAGGCTCTCGCCTCAGCGCCGCGCGCATTCTATGAACAGCGTACACTAGTTGCAAGGATGTTCGTGGATAGCGTCCCAGGAGTCGGATGTCGGAATGTCAGGGCGCAGCAGTTACGTATATTCGCAGAACCACAGCCCCAGAAACAGCTTTCTGGCACGCTTCAGGATCGTCAATATACAATAGCAAGGGTGACTCGCGGCGTTGAAGACCCAGGCATGGTGTTCTGGCACGATTCAGGATCGTCAAGACGCAACAGTAATGGTGACTCACGGCGTTGAGGTTCTAGGAAATGTGTTCTGGCAGAGTTCACGATTTTCAAACGATGGTCTTCCAACGCGGCACACCCCTTAGTGAAAATGAATCTCTGTAGGGGCCCATTAAGAAGAACTTGGAGGGACAGTTGACTGGAATATCGTTGATGAGTCTCGGGTTTACACTGGTCCTCCTGCTCCTCCTCGCGCATAGCCTGCGGACACAGGGGTTCGTCCACATCAGCACTGCCACGCTCTGCAAAGCTGCCAGCGCACGGTTGGCGCGGCCTGCTGTGCCAGCCCTGGGTTCACTAGAGCACCACTGCGGATGTCCCGAATCTGACTGTACAGCATCGTCGCTGCCACGGGGATCCGGAGAGAGCGCGGGGACGGATCGGCAAGACCAAGACGAGCAATTGGACAAGCAGGAAGAAGTGAAGACGAGGACTAACAATGACAGACGACAGGAGGAAAAAACTCTTCCTCTTCATCCTCCTTCCTTCCATCCTCATCCGTCTTTCCATGACTCCCTTCCTCCCAGGGCCATCCTCTGGCGTTTGACTGCCGGGGCCAACTCCGGGTCCGCCTTGCCAGTGGCGAAGCGCCGGTGCACCGCGTCGAGCGAGTACAGCAGAGACTGGTAAGAGCCATCCGCTTCCTTCCGAGGGGAAGCGAGGGGGGAAGGAGAGAGAATCAGTGGAGGGGCGGATGGGGGTGGGAGAGAAGAAGGGATGATGAGATGGGGAAGGGGGAGGAGGGAGGAGGAGGGAGAACGACGAGGAGGAACAGGAAAATGAGGAGGAAAAGGAGGAGAAGGAGGAGGAGCGAACATCACGAATCGTTGTTCCTCCTCCCCCTTCTCTTTCTCCTCCTCCTCCTCCTCCTGGAATGGGGATGACCGAGACCGCATGCAGCTGCGAGCACCGCGCCAGCGCGCGCAATGCAGCAGACCACGAGGGCCGAGATGAGCGGCAGAGGAGGGACGAGAGCCGGGGAGCCGGAAGGGGAACGGGGGCAAGCCGGGGGCGCTCGCGTCACATCTGGCATCCTGCCCCTGCCGCCCAGTCCTGCAGCTGCGTCGAGTCCCCCCTTCGTCTTCCGAGCGGGGTGCCCTGGAGGACATCGGGCCCCAAAGTGTCAACGGCAGGTTCGACCCACCGCTTGCAGCGCAACCAGAGCGGCGAGGGGCTCTGCAAATGGAGGAGCCACAGGCGACCGAGCACGAGGCGGATGATGATGATGTTGATGATGATGAGGAGGAGGAGGAGGAGGAGGAGGACCAGGAGAACGAGGAGGAGGAGGAGAAAGAGGAGGAGGAGGAGGAGGAGAAAGAGGAGGAGGAGGAGCAGGAGTGGGAATAGGAGGAGTCACCTTGAGAAGTTTTTAGGCCCCCCAGTACGGGGTACCTTTTTGATCGGCGGCCTTATTGTTTTGTTTCCGTACCGCTCGCGGCTGCCTCAGCAGGACGGTGCGCGCGCGCTGGCTAGCGCGCGCTGCCCAGTCAAGGAATCAGGAACGCAGCGCGACCACCCTCAGGAGGGCAGTCAGGGGGGGAGAAAATACCTCAGCCCGCCCCGCTGCCGGCTCAAGAGCCGCCCCCGGAGGGGAGCCCTCAAGAAGGCAATTTTTTGCTCAGAAGCGCCAGGCCGGCACTCAGGAGTGCACGGCTCCAGCATGCGGCCGGCACTCAGGAGCGCCAGGCCGGCACTCAGCCGATGACAACAAGTTCCATCCGAGCAGCGACAGCTACTGCCAGACTGCCTACCAGCACCCCTAAACCAAAACTCGCACCGTCAGCTCTTCCCACTGCACCAAACCAAGGATGGTGGCAGCGAAGTGTCGAGCCCACATGCCTAATACAGACACCGCAGGTCGGGTTTCCTTGATCATAACTGCAGTTGCAATCACACTGGACGGTTTGAGCAGGTCTTCTCGGCGAGGCTTCAACACACTTGTTTGCGAAGGTTAAGATGTCTTTGCCCCACTGTGGGAGTGGCAGATCCGCTAAATCGGCGCTGGCCTGATCGATGTAGCCCCGTGCTGTTTTGGCCTGCGTCCATCGGCCCAGGTGCTGTGTAGCATCATAGGAACATTATTTCGTAAAAAGCCAGGTGACGCCACCCCGCCTCAGGCAATACGGGGTGAACCGTTTATGGGCCATGCCAAAACGGCTGCCTAACCTGGCAATGTCGTCCGCAAAGTTCCGCCACGTACCCTGGTATACGCACTCGTTCGGGGCGGCCTCCTTCAAAATCTTCTCGGCGAGCCTGATGACCAACGCGTCGAAGACGGAAACCTGCTCCGTGGAACCTGCGCAAACCCCTGTCTTCGTCCCTGGCAGTGATACTATCAGCAACGAGCCCCAACCGAAAACTGCGAGCTGCCTGCCCGTAAGCCGGGTCAGCTCCCCAACGCGGAGCAAGCCGACGAAACCCAAAAGAACTGAGAAGGCCAGCCGAAAATCTCCCTGCAAGAGAGCAGCCGCACCCATGCCCAGGACCAAGTCGAGCGACGCTGGAATCGCTTTCTGCCGCACCGTGACCCTGAGCCATTTCTTTTGGCACAGGTGCGACGTCTCAAGGTGCCTCCGGCATTTGGGGTAAAAGCGCTCGAGCCCGCTCAGCAGGTCGAGCGCCCAGTACTGCGGGAAGTCGTCCAAGTAAAGGTGGTTGATGTATTCAGCGACCTCCTCGTCCAGACTCTCAAACGAGTCAGGGAGGCCGCGACCATGCAAGGATAGAAAACAGAAGAACCTCAAAATGCTTTGCTTGTATCTTTCCATTGGGCGTTGTTTGATGCCCTCGTACTTGATATGCGCTTTCCTGACGGCCCGCGGCGTGGGCTGGCGTGTCTTATTCGTCATGGGCCCCTGGGAGCCGCCGACTGGCGGCGTCGGCATGGTTCCATCCGCTGACCGTCCAAAGAGTAAGCACATACGTATCAGTAGCGAAAGCAGGAGCCGCGAACTGGCGGCAGAGGAGATTCAAGACCCTTGAGGAAGATCGCCTCTTGGCAACCACGCGCAAACGACCCGGCTGTCGAAAATGTGGAAATAACGACGCCGGTGGAAGGCTTTACTTCCAGACTGCGCGCGGACGTAGTTGAAGAACGCAGCAAACTCCAAAACGTTGATGTGCTGCGGGTGACGCCACGCGTACGACTGCGCAGTCTTCCAATCCCAACAAAAGGCTGGGTATGGCACCGACTGCCGACATCCTGCAAGAAGGACCTCTGCCGACAACCGGACATCTCAGCTTCGGTAGTCTGCTTCGCGAAGCAGGCTCTGAGATGGCGCTCCTCCCCCCCGAGCTCCATGGAGCACATGGGGCCGCAGATGGACTCCAGCACCTGCGCCTGCATCTGAGGGGATCGCAAGCGCGCCGTAGCCCGCTCTAGAGCGGTCTTGATCCACGGCGGCCCGTCTCCGGGGAGCACCAGGAGGGTACTCTGTAGCACTCTCCCGGCGACGGCGGCTGCGCACCTCCCCAGGGCGGGCGCCCGCGGCTCCGCGAATGGAAACCGACCGACCTCCACCCCAGGTGCCACCGTCAAGCTCTGGGGCGTTCCACCTGCGCGCCGCGCCGGCCAAGACGTCGCCGACCGCGCTCTCCCCCACGAGGCCGCCTCCCCAGGAGCACCCGACGATCCCCCCGACGAGCTATAGAGGAGACCTGCTGGGTCGAGGGGTGCTGCGGCCGCGCGGGGAGGGCCAGCGGGGCCACCTTCTCCAAGGACGAGCGGAGCCGATCACGGCCGGCCTGCACCCCGTCCCGGCGCGAGCCCTGCCCGTCCAACAGGGCAGGGCGGGCCGTGCCGCCCTCGCGTGCCTGCTTTTGCCGCGCTTGTTCTTGGGCTCATCCTCTCGAGCGGCGCCGTGGTGCGGATGACCTGCTCCAGGATGTCGTCTCTGGCCTTCTTGCTGAGCCAGTCGGTGTTGTCGAGGTCCGACGCCTTCTGGCGCTGGTTTCGGGGATCTTCTGACCCAGGTCAGTCCAGACCCGGGCCACCAGGAAACCAGAACACTGCAATGCAGAACAAAAACAACTGCAACGCAGGTCTTCGCAAACCCGGGTCGGCCAATAGGCGCGGCCGCCTATCGCGGCCACGAGCGGCTCGCTAATCCGGGTCAGCCAAAGGGGATCTTCGCAGGATCCTGCAGGATCCGGTGCCCTGGCTGACCCCCGTCTCCCCGTCTAGGGAGCCAGATGCGAACCCTACCCCACCCCACCCCTCAGAAGTCGTGGGGGGTTAGGGGTAGGGTTCACATGTGGCTCCCTATCTTCGGCTCCTACGGTTGAGCACCCGCCAGCGCCGCACCGGAACCAGCGCGGCGCCCCGGTGAAGGTGACCTCGCTGTCGCCCCCTTTGCCGAGCGCCATGCGGTGTGCAGGCCGGGGTTTGGGTGCCCCCCCTCCGTGAACACCCAATACTGGCAGTAAGTCGCCCTACGGGAGGCTGTTAGGCGAAATTAAAAATACTATAAAAATACCCCCGAATGGAAAAATACGCCAAAACATAGTCCCCAGACATTTTTTGTTATTTTTGAATTCATTTCCCTCCTGTAGAGGGGCACGCCCGACTTAATAATGGTAGTGGGGGTCTTCCGCGTGGAAGAGGGTGCACTCGAAGATGCGCGCCTTGCCCCCCAGGCTGGACACGATGAAGATCGCCCGACCCTGGGGGGGCCCTCTGCAATGTCGTCCAAGCACTCGATCTCCAGGACGTCTCCCGGAGACCACGTTGCCTGGGCGGCGCATTCCCGATCTAGATCCGGACCGGTCCAGGGACCAACAGTCCAACCTGGCATGGCCGTCGCGCCAGGAGGGCCAAGCCTGCGCTTATATGTGTAGTTATAGTACGCAATCTTTATAGAGAATGCAGCTGTGGAAAGCGGTCAAGCCTTGGACCGAAACAACTACGGAGCTGACGGTGCCATGACGCAAGTCGTCGTGTCACACAACACGCATGCGACCGAATGCTTTTGAACACCGTCTTCTCAAAGCTCAGTTCGTTTGGGGCACGCATGCGACCTAGTGCCTTAGAAAACTGCCCTCTCAAGCTCAGGCCTGCACTGGGGAAGCGACGCCGCGAGCAGAAAACAACTGCTCTGGCCTCCGATGTGCTCCAGCCAGAGCAGAATGATTATTTCCATCTTTTTTGCTATTATTGCTATTATTGAAGGACTGGGGTCCCACCGATTAGGGGTAACAAGTGATTTCTTCCCGCGGCGCCAGCCGCGCAGCAACGACGACGACAGCTACGACTACGATTGCGACTGCGCAGGAGGAGGAAGAGGAGGAGAAGGAGGAGGAGAAGGAACAGGAGAAGAGGGAACGGGGGGGGTGAGAAGGACGACGTTTTAGGACCAGTCCTATTCACCGCCGAATGAAAGGGAAGGGGGTCAAACAAAACACTTGGAGGTTATCCGGATCAGGACAGGAGGACCATGGGAAGGCGGAGGAGAGGAATGGGGGGCGGCAGCGACGCGGAACGACCCGAAAGCAAAAATGCGGCCCGAGTGGGGGCAAGAGCGCCATTCTGAGCGACGGGGCCAGCGTTGCAGTTTGGGCAAAATTCGTGAAGGACCGAGAGCGTGCCGGCCCGAGACAAACAGGCACGAAACCCTCGGTGTGGCCAACAGCACGCGAGAGAGACGAG